AGAGAGAGAGAGAGAGCTTTCGAACCCCCCCTCCCCGGCCAACCTCGCTCCGAGTACCGCAGCCACATCGCACTGCCTTGAGCTCACGCGGCCTGCCTACCTGCCTGCCTGCTCCGGGCGCATCTCCCCCTGTCCCCGTCCATCCATTCTCCCGTCCTCCTTGAGGACTAAGAGATAGATAGAGGGATGAGGACGGATGGGCAGGGTAGCAACATGCGACACACTGCGTTGGCATGCGCCGAGGATCGTCACACCGCCCCCCCGGACGACCGCTCCGATTGTCGCGATTGGGTGTGCCACCCTTTTTTTTTTTTCATCCCTCTCGCTCCCTTCCCTCCGTCGCGCAAACTTGCGGCGGCCAGAGGGGTACATACATACCTTGGGACGGCGCGTCATTAACATAATAAATCACCCCGTCGAGTTTTGATAGGAGGAACGTCGCCGAGGTTGGGCTTCGGCCACTTCCGTCCTTGGGTTCCCGGCTCAGGCCATTGAACAGACGGCCAGCACGCGCCGGCGGCGGCCTCTGCGCACCCGAACAGCGATGCCGCCATGCGTCATGTGAGACGTAGGCTGCCTATATTTGTTGCGGGCCAAGCATAGCCGACATGGTCGCTCAGGAGACAAGCCGACGTCGGTTTTGCCCAGTGATGCAGCTCTGGTGGTGTGTGTCTGTGTGTGTGTGTGCGCGCGACAAAGCACCAGCCGAGCTAAGAATCAGAAGGAGACAGGAGGGGGAAAAAAAAAACGACACATCGCCGGCATACGCTTCTTTTTTTTCCCTGATATGGGCAGCAACGCAGCGGCCGCGTGACCACAGAAGTCGAGCATACACAAGACGGAGCCGAGCCCTGGGGGTCCACTGGCACGCTGGCACACCCTCGCATGACGCTGCATGGAGGGCGGCACACAGGAGCGACGGCCGACTTGTCGGGGATTTTTGTTGCAAATTATAAGCATGCGGGGGAGGAAACTGCGTCCTCAGTGGGCGGCTGGTGTCACCAGTCGAGTTGCGCCCTCACATCTCATCCGCATGTCGCACAGCGGCGCTGCTGTGCCGTCTCGTGGCACATGTATTTCGTCCTGCGGGTGGGCTTCCATGCAGCGAGAGTGTTTTTTTTTTTTTTTTGGCTAGCTGGCTGGCCAGTCTACCCAAAAATCCCCCCTGCCCGGCCGGCTCGCAGTCGCTCTGGCTGCCTGGATACCCAAATACCGCAACACCCAACGCAACGTCAGCCTCACTCATCGTTTCAGGGGCCCTAGTTGGCCCGCTGCGTAGGCGACCTCACTAGCGGACCGATAACCCAGTGCCGCCGCTGGCGCGTGCACACCAACCGCAGCACAGTCTAGGCGGACGCGGCCGGGTCGGGGCCACGTGCCCAGCCGCTGTGGTCCTCCCCTATCCCCTCTCGGAACGTGCGTCAGGCTCCTACAAAGCCCGAAGATAACGGAGGCCAGGCCTCCGTTTCGCTCGTCAAGACGGTTTTGACGTGAGAGTGACGTCGTGCGGTGAGATGAGATTCCTGCCAGCCTCGGGGCCGTGCGGGCGTGCGGGCGTGCGGAGGTGACCTGGCCGGCTGCAGTGGAATGGACCTGGGACCTTGTTGCCGGCAATCGATGCCAGCCGTCAATAGTGGCGGAGTAATTGGTCCCGGCAATGCGCTGGCCGCTCGCTAGTGGGCGCCAGGGGCTGGGCGGGAGCCGGCGAAACGAGAGAAAACAAGGACCAGCGGGAATTGCGCTCGCCGGGCGTAGAGGTGATTATTACAACGAAGCCGGTGAGCCGGTACCGTCATAACCATTACCGCTTCTGGAAACAGCTGCATCGGCCTACATGGGGCCTCATTCAGTCTGCCAGCCTGCGCTCCGGGCGCACGGGGCTCGGCGGCACCATGTGCTGGCCTCCTCCGAGACCTAAAAAGATCCAAGCTAGTCGTCTGCCGCGCTACGACGCTAGTCTTTTCCGAGCTGAGCAGAGACATGCCGTGAAATGCGCGTCAGTAGTCCTGTTTGGGACTCACCGGGCTCGGTGAGCACCCACCATTTTCTCGTGTCTTGTCGCCTCTCCCAGCCTGGCCCAGCCGGCTTAGTCCCAGCACAACCACAGCGGCAAAACCACAGCGGCAAAACCACAGCGGCAAAACCACAGCGGTGAGCGACGGCGTTGACAAAAAATAGTCGTCGCCCATACCACCTGGTAACAATGCAGCGGCTACCTACTCGTCTCAAACACCCGATTCCCCACTCGAGCTTGTCACCGCCAAGACGGCCGCGTGTTCAGGACATGGCGGCCCGGAAGGAGTCGGCGGCTTCCCGCGCTGTGGACACGACATGGTCTGTCATGACCATGGGACCTTTCTCGCTGGCTCTCCCAGAGACCCGATGGGCAGAGTCTGACCACATTCAGATCCCAAAATCCCACTCCGACATCACACAGTGAGACGGAGAACTCCGGCTTGCCGCTTTCGAGACCGAGATTGTGTGTCTGTGTCGTGTTGCACCGGTCCAGTCCATGGGAAAGGGGACGAGAGGGAGGACGGAGTGATCAGGGGTCGGCCAGCGTGGCCAACAAAAGCGGCAGGCATTGGGCCGCCCGCCGCCCGGGCGTGGTGATGCGAACCACGGCCGCGTTGCTCAGTCTGTTGATAGGAGGACGCCTCGATACGTGCATACTTGGCAGCCTCAGATATGCCTGTGTAGGGTGCAGCGGCCCCGCTCTGGCCGCCTTTTGGCTGGCAAATACGGTGTAGCGCACCGAGATGAACCTGGAAGCTGCATGGGTTGTCCTGGGGGTGTGTCCTCCTGTCTTTTCGACCAAGCGCAGCCTTTCCTTTCGGGCCCAACCCGTAAGCGAGGCCGGCCTTGCTCCGGCGGCCACTCGTTTTGCTCTCCACTTTTAGCGCCCGAGTTTGGGGGACGTGTGAGGCTTCTTTGAGGCATGAGACGAAGCGCAGTCATCATTGCGATGCAGAGTCCCAGCTAGCTCATGTACGGCTGGCCCAGGATGGTTAGTGGGCCGATCAGGCCTGTCAGGAGGCGATCCTGTTTGATTTCGGTTCTCCTGATCGGGGTGCGACCTCGAGATCGTCGGATAAGTGAATATAGCACTTGCGTTTTTTCTTTCTCTGGCTCAGAGTCCAATACGTGTCGGTCCCAAGAGTTCTCCCTTGCATATACCTATCTCCACATCCGGGGCACCTGGCTCTCGCCTGGAGACCGGGCTTGAGACTAACAGCGTCGGCAGGAGAAAACCGGAAGGGGACGAGGATAAACGAACAACAAATAAAAATAAAAATTAAAAAAGAGCCATGCAGGAGGAAACGAGGTGGCGGGCGACAAGCTGGAGCGGAGGCTTGGCCGAACCGTCAGGCCAGTTGTCCATCAGCCTCTGTGCTACTACCGTATCATTTGGCGGGGGCAGGGCAGGCAAGACAGGCAGGCTGGGAAAAGGACCATGCCAGGTCGTCTGTCTTTCTCATGTCACCGATTACCGTTTTAGGCTCGCTGCATGTCGGCCCTGGCTGCATCCCCGGGCGGGCAGGGCGACAGACGCCAGCCACTGGGCCGGGCGGACCCGTGAGGGTCAGAAAAATGTCGAATCGAGGAGAGGAAGAAAAACAAAAACAAAAGAGAGACAACCGTCCAGTACGGACAAGGGAGGTGAGGCTTGACAGTGGCAGCAACAGCCCACAGGAGGGGGCTTGGACGGGGTCGGCGGCTAGCAAAGGTCCAAGGGCGGCGGCACCAGGAGGGAGCAGGACTATCCGCAAGCTGCTGTCTCTCGGATGAGACTTGACTGCTGGCACCCTGGCGACCCTGGCGATGCCAGCTCAGCAACCGACCACGGGTGCTCCAAAGCCTGCAATGTTTTATCCAGTGTTTTCTTTTTCTTCCTTTCTCATTTGGGGTTTCTGCCCACCGCTCGGACGCGAACCGATGACCCTCCTTGCGGGCGGGAAAATCTGGAGCCAGCAGACCGGTCTCAACGCCTGCAAGGCTCTGGCGGACATGGGCGGGGCAGCCCCCAAGGGAGCAAAAGGGAAAGGCATCCCATCACGCTCGCATCATTTTGACGCGCCCGCTACCGCTGCGGACGGTGAGGAGTTTGGGGCCCGTCGTCCGACAGGATGAGGTGTTTGGGTCTGTCGACCAGGGAGGGGTGCAAGGAGAGGAATGAAAGAAAAAGAAAGAAAAAGAAAGAAAAAGAAAAAAAGAGAGGGAGGGAAAAAAAACGCCAAGAAAGATGGCCATCGCACACTCGACCACCTTGGCGCTGAGACAGCTGTCATCCCATCCCACTGTTCGTGCATGAGCGCCTCGCGAGAGTGGGGGTCGGGCAGGGCGAGAGACAGAAAAAACGCGGTGGGGCGGTTCGAATGAAGGAGGAGGTGAGGTCAATGAGTTGAGGAAGGAGAGAACCACCTCGTCCATCAACCCCCCATCAAGAAACGGAAGGCGTGGAGCACAATCGCTCATATGTCACAGTGCGCGCTGGTTCCCTCGTTTGAATGCTCGGTTTATGCAAGGAACAGCAGCCTAACCGGGACTGGCGATTTTTGCGTGTAACTGGCGGATCCATTTGCAGTGAGGCGAGATTGCCTCTTTTTTTCTTTTCTTTTTCCTGTCTCCTCCTCTCCCTTTCCCTCGCGCCTTCCCTCTCTTTGGCTGGGAACCCAAGTGGAGATTTCCAGTTTGGGTTTCCGCCTTGCCTTGTTCTGGAAGCGACGGCACTTTATGCCAGGTCCCCCTCGCGGAGTCCAACCCGACCATTCACCCGACTGGGGAGGGTCTGTGCAACGAGAAAAAATCTTGAAACTGGGCCAAATGTTGAGAAGATCCATTTTCCAGCCCGTTTTTTTTCGTCGTCCGTCTCCTGAGAAAAAAGATTCTTCCAGTCGACAGGAGCCCCGCCTGCTGCTCCCCGGACCACTCGGAAGGCTCCAGGCGAGTTCCCCTGGTGGCAAAGGATCCACCGCGCGGAGCTTCCTCCAGCCAGTCGGAACCAGTGGCAACACCGCCGGGGTAGCATCCCGCGCGCCGGTTGGAAGTGTTTGGGAGGGTTTTCCTGTACCACTTTTGCCTTGCCATTGTTTGCCTCTTGGCAGGTACGCAGGCTGGGGGGGGGGGCGTGTTTTTTCTGGTTTTTGTTTTGTTTTTGTTTTCTTGTGTTTTTTGCCTCCTGCCTCTCCCACAGTACTGGTGACGCGGCAGCCCTCGGCTCGCTGATTAGGCGATGGTGTTTTGTAATATTTGGCTCATTTTCGCATCCCTTGCCTTGTCAAGCCAGCTGTTGCGGGGAGGCAGTGCCAAGTATCTACATGGATTGGATCGCGTCCCACTTGGGTTCCAGCCGGCAAGCCCTAGCTGCCCCGGGAGACTGGTTGGGCGATCAAATGCAAATAGAGCGCAGTGCCCAGGCTTGCAGGGCCCTGGGAGCAGGAACCCCCACCCTGCAACCCAATTACGAAGGAGAGATGAGAGCGTTTGAGGGCGAATGCAAATGCAACACGAGATGATATGTGGCGGAGGCGGGGGCCGCGATTGTTTATTATCGCAACGCTAACCCCCAAGCGTCGCGCCCAACACGATCGCCGGGGGCTCTCCCGGCTGCCCGGTTAGGTTGGCCCAGCTGAAAAGGCGCGGCTCGCGACACAAAAGGCTCGCGCCAACGACGTCAGCGCATGCACGTCTCGCAGCTCGCCCATGTGCGCCCGGCCGCGGCAGGCAAGGCCCCTTATTCGATCACCAGCCCTAGAGGATGCGCGCAGAATAGCAGGTAAAAATAAAATAAACATTAGTGGTGGCCGCGAAATCCACGAGCAGAAGTCCGGGAGACCAATCAACAGATTGGGAAATCTCCATTTGGAAGGTCTTGGGGGAGCCTCCTTGCAATTTCAACCACCCTCCCCAACTGCAAAACAGCCATGTCACGCGACGATTGCAGCGCACGAACGGCTGCGGGCTGCATCACACACGCCCTGCAACTATCAATCTCGCCACCCCCAACCTCGAGCGCGGGCGGCACCAAAATCTGCTCAACATCCGTGTCTTGCTTGGGAATCGCCATGGCGCGCGCTCTAGGCTTCCCGATCGTGGTCTTGCAAATTCCCATCCGGACCATCTGGAACAAGACCGAGCAGAACGCGGGGTGCAGCGCTGGGTCAGTCCAGGGCAAAGGGGCTCGGGTCACTCACTGGACGACGGACTTGGACGAACAGGCCCGGGATAGCCTGTTTGGGGGAGATGGGACGGACGGACTGGATCGAGGGCGTCGTCAAATGACAGGCGCCGCAGCATGTCAGGGCGGACCTGGGAGCCCGACGGGCCAAGGAGGAGTCGAAAAATAAATAAATAAAAAGGCGCGGAAAAAAAGAAAAGAAAACAGGAAAAAAAGAAAGAATCGCGCTCCGTCACCTGACCGTATCTGTCTGCGTCATGGCAAAAGCGGTGTCCCAGCCGGCGGTCGGTGTGCGCCGGCACAGTGCTGCAACTGTGTAGATTACCGCTTCGGCATTGGTCGATTTCCAAGGACGCGCCCGAGAGCAAACCCCAGACCCACGAGCCTGGGCCCTGCTCCACATGGAAATCGAGGCGGGCGTCCAAGGGCACTCCCTGATCGAGGACCCGGTCAGCCCCACACGTCAGTGTCGGATAGGAGCAAGGTTGGTTCTCTCTACCCCAAAGAGAGCGTTTGTCTTTTTCTCAACTCGTGACCAACCTGTGACCGCCTTTTTGACTCCCGCCATGACAGGCGCGGGTTTTGGAAAGAAAACCAGATCATCCGATTTGACATGCCCTCCCCCCCATCTTGTGCCCACACACCCACGCCTCGGACACCCCACGCCTCGGGCCCCCGTGATTTTCTGGCAAGACGAATGGCGGCATGCATACGCGCTTGCCTGGGTGACGACAGACCCGCGTACAGTGGTACAGTAAGTACCGTGGGCGAGGGAAGCATGTCAGCGCACCAACGCCCAACGAGCGCGCTCCGAAAGGCAGCCGGGAAATCCGGCTCGCCAGCCCAGCTCTCAGCCACATCAGGTTTCTAGGTAGGTACCGGCCTAGCTTGGAGCTTAGTCCCTCGTTGGATCAGCCGGCCGCGATTCCTGAATCGTACGATTGACGGCGGCGGCGATAGGTTTCAGCGAGCAAGTGTCTTAGCGGGTGTGTGGGTTGGGCAGCCCACGCAGCTGCCCCTATCACTGGTGCGGGGGGGCGGCCACTTGGCTTGGAACTGCTAGAAGTGTTCGGTGCATCTCCCCTGGTTGCCTTATCCGCCCTGCTATCTCCCCCCCAGGGCGCGACGGCACTCTGCTCCGGCGAGATCGGACCTGCCCTCCCTCCCCTTTGGAGCGACTGGTGGGTTGAGGCTGACAATGGGTCCCACAGAAGGAGATAAGGCGGCAATTTCCATGCGTGGGCGCGCGCACGATGGCGGGACCGGGGATTTCGACAGCCGGCATGATTTGTGGAACAGAGATTACTGTGTCCAAGCGGGCACACCGCAAGTGGTGAGCGGTCCGATCTCTCCGGGGTGGGCTTTGGGAAGCCCACGCCCATGCCCACGTCCACCCCCACCGCCGACCAGAAGACACTGTCAGACCGATTGAGAAAAGCCCCGAGAGAAAAGCAACCGACGTCACTCGCAGGGCTTCATGCCGGCGTCCCCAAAGAGCCTGCACGTGGTGTCGGGGACAGGGACTGACTTGCCGCCTGCGACTCAATATTCGTCGTATCAAACTTTCAGAGTAGCAACGGGGAAGCAAATTTCAGGCCGGGCACCAAGATAGGAGGTTCCATTGCGAGCCAGACGTGGAGCCGCCAGGGATTTCCCCGGTTCGGGCGGTAACCAAGGGTTATAAGTTCATTTGAGGCAATCGGGGAGGAAAGAAAAAAAGAAAAGAAACATTTCGCGAAAGCACACGCAGTAGAAAAAACAAGGTGAGGAGGGGATGATGAGATGGAGGGGGGAAGCGAAAGAGGAAAGGAAGGAATAGATAAATAAAATACGCAAACCGAAAGGGAACAGGCAACACTCATCCCAACCAACGCCTGGTCGGAAAAGCGGCAAGCACAGCATACAAAATACAGTCAGGCGCAAGGCGTTGGCCAGCCCTTCGGATCATGGGTGCGGATTGAGGCTTTTCGGTAGTTGCAGCATGATATAATCCGGCGACTCGGCTGGCGGACCACAACCGGATGCACACACTACGCTGTACTGCGCTGCACGCGGCGATTTGGTCGCAGGAGGCGCCTGGCTTGGCGCACAAAGTGATGTGACGGCATTTCAACCACCCACTGTTTGATTTTCAGCAGCTACCATCTGCTGGAAATAGCCCCACGGCCGGCCAACCGACGGATATAGCCACAATTTCAAAATTTGCCTAGAGCCGAGGAAAACCGTCGGCCGGTCGCGTCCGGACTTGGAGATCGATCTGTTGGATGAGGGCTTTTTTTTCTTTCTGTGTGTGTTCTTCTTTCTTTTCTTTTTTTCTTCCTCTTTTTTCGTTTGTTTTTCTTTGTTTGCAGATAGGTGGGTTGGGCTGGCTGGCCCGACACGTTGCCTGCTTCTACTGGCCGAGCCATTACCTTACTTGCTGCTGCTGCTGCCGCTGCGCTGGATTTGGCGTAACAGTCATCGCTGCCGCTGCCGGGGAGGGGTCGGTGAGGTCTATTTTCGCCCGCCTTTGCTGGACGGGGCGCACCGAAGGCAGATTTTCCCAAGGATCAACGCCCGCTCGGCAGGCTGGACGGTGACACGAGCGCCGCACAGCCCCAACGCATCCACGGCTAAGGGCTCATGGCGCATCGCGATTGGGGAGGCCAGCAAAGAGGGCATGGGGGGGGGGCTTGTTTTTACTCTGCTTTGGTATCTGTCGCAAACAACAACAAGAGAGAGAGAGAGAAGAAAAAAAAAAAGAGGGAATGCATGCTGCCATCCGCCGCGGTCGCCTTTGTGGCCGGCTACCTCATCACGGGCGCGTGCGTGGGCGGGCGTTTACGTGTCCCAACCGACATTTTCGGGGTTTCAGGCAGGGCAGTCGCCTCGCGGGCTGCCAGTCAGGACTGCTTGTCCGCCCTCGCTTCCCCGCCGACTGCCAGCGAGGCGGTAGTTGCTATCTCACCTGGCGCCCGCTGTGCCCACTTCTTGCGACTTCCGTGCCTCACCGCCTGACCGTTTTCTCGAGCCCCTTCCCTGCCTCTGGGCCCCAGTGCTTATCCGCTCGGTCCACCACAAGGGCAGCAACAGGTGGGAAAGAGGGACAAAACAAACAGGTGATTTGACAAAAAAAAAAAAAAGCAAGACCAAAAAGGAATGATAAATATGACCATATACGAGGATCCCCGTTCGGCGATGTGGGCGGGTTTTAACCCGACCGCCGAAAAGTTCGAGAAGGAAATGGAGCGTTGGCGAGGTTCCGCTTTTTGGTTTCCAAATGTTGCACAGGGGCAAAGACTCCTCACATTTTCGACAGGCTTCTTCTCCCTGGTGGACCGTTATCATGTTTTTTTGTCGTCTCTCCCAGACCCATGCCCTGTCTTTTGATTCCCCGCCCTTTTTTTTTTTTCGTCGTGGCGCGGCGGTTAACACTGGGTAGAACTCCAATCTGGCTACCACGGTTGTGCACGCGGAAACATGGCCTTGGGCCCCGAGGCCGCCGCCGTCGAGGGGCGATGCCACAGCAAAGAAGGCAGGCTAGGGAGACGCCGGCCGGATGCGACATGGGTGCGGCAGGGCGTGGCAGCGAGCGAGCGATGAAGGGATTATTATGCCCGCGTCGTACATGGCGCTATGTCCAACGGGAGCGTACAGCAGAGGCGGCCCTTCTCGTTGGGCCGGCTGTGGAGCGTTTGCCCGAGGGATGGGGGTGGCGTTCATAACAATGGACAAGAAGGGAGAAGGCGAAAAGTCAAAGTCGCCCGAGAGCAGAAAGGAGAATAGAGGAATGGGAGCCGAAGAGAAGGGGGGGGGGAAGGAAAATGACGAGGGCTAACGCTTAGTTTCGCCAACCTACAACCAGGCAAGCGTGTTGTTATCCACGAAACGAGCGACACGGCATCTGTTCCAGCTCTTCTCTCGTCGTGCGTCGTGTGCGTGCCCGCCCAGCCAGCCCAGCCAGCCCAGCCAAGCCCAAAGTGGCATGTATGTACTGCTGGCCAGCAAGCAGCAGCAGCAGCAGCACGCGTGCGCTCCCACTTGCTACCCCCCCTTCGCAATCCTCGAGCTGCTGCCACCGCCACCACCATCACCGCAAGCCCAGGTTCCAACAAACCGGGCTCGGGCCTGCGTCCCCCGGCCGGGGTCGGAGACAGCTCTCTGGCGCTGTCAGATTGTCGGTCCCAGATGTCCGGAAAGGCCCAGGTCGCATAGTGCCGGGCGGCGATCTACAGACTGTGCGGGGCGCCTGGCTCCAAGTACCACGACTGGGCGGTGGGCCCCCCTAGTGCCAGGGCTGGGCCAGGGGGGGGGGTGTGCCGTTTGTGTGAGAGCCGCCCCATGCAGATCTGCCTCCCAAGCAGCTTGTTCGCTCTGCAGCTTGGAACAACCTAGCAGACCTCGTCAAAGGATCAGCCTGGCTGGCCTGGATTTTATTGTATTTTTTCGATTTTTCGATTTTCCGTTTTCCCCGTCTGTCCCGCTCGTTCTAATTATCGCGGTGTCTTTTTTCGATTGAATTTTTATTCTCCGCGGACATGTCTGTTCTTTTTATCTATTTTATTGTTTTGTTCCCTATGTGCATTTATTCCTTTTGGCAAGGACGCTGCTGGCCACCGCCGTTTCACTCCAATAAAAAGAAAGCAGGTATGGCCCTGCTTAAAACACCTACCCTCCTCTCTCTCCCACTCCCTTCCGGCCAATAGCATTTTATACAGCTCCTGCCCTCCTGACAGTCCGTCCCATACCTCCACGTCCCGCCCTGTCGACTTCTGCATGGGGAACAACCGTCACGCACTAATAGCCCTCTCGCTTGCACACACCTCTGTCTCCGCTTCGTGCCCCTTGGCCTCCTTCACCGTCTCCCTCCGTTTTGCGCAACAACCAGGGGCCAGGTCATAGGGCGTCACCGTATCTCCCGCTTGTTCGGAGCCTTTGTTTTTTTGCCTACCGGGTGCTTGTTGGTTGTTACATCACCTCGCGTTTGGTTGGCCTTGTTTGCCCACCCCGGGTGCGCATGTTACGTGCTTGTGGTGATCACAAGCCCTGCTTCCCTCCCTACCCACCGAGCGCTCTCTGACCGTTCCACACGGCCGTCTCGCACTCCCCACCTATAATAAATCAACTCGGCACGCCTCCTTGCTCGGACACCTCGTGGAACCCTTCTTAAGCGGCCGAGCACCCACTCCCTTCGAGAAGGATATTATCTTAGTCTCCTTAGCCTCCAAGGCGGCGCCTGTGAACAAACCCTCAATCCATCCTCGCCAAGTGCAGACTCACAGACATCCAACGCTGTAGTATCAAGCTTGCTCGTTCCCTCTTATTCTTTCTCACCCTCTCGTCCGCTGGACCTCCTCCCACATCGTACCTCGTCGTCCTCTTCCGCTCTGCTCTACCCTCACCGGCGTCCACTCCACCTAGCCGCTGTCCGGGTGGTTGTCAGGGGACGTATCGAAATCAGAACCAGCAAGAAGTCGTTGTCCTTCACTTCACCATGTCGAGGAGAAGTGGCCCATTGGGGCGGGGCGCTGCCTCCCCCAGGTCGAGGAATCTCCCACCCTTTCCCACAAGACAGATGTTTGTTCTCGGTACGTGATCGGCCTCAACCACTTGCGTCGCAGGACTCTCGGGGCTGACACCCAACCAACCATCAAGCTCTCTGTCGGATATGTGAACCGATTGCGTTCATGGGCATCTTCCCCTACATCTACAAGATGGTGGAGAAATTCCAGGTGACCGACGACAAAAGCCAGATCGCCCTCTACGCCGGCATGGTCACCTCGGCATTCACATTAGCCGAGTTCTCCACGGGTGTGCTCTGGGGAAGGTTAAGCGACAAGATCGGCAGGAAACCCGTCCTGCTCAGCGGTCTCGCGGGCACCGCGCTGAGCGTGCTAATCTTCGGCTTCTCCCCCAACCTCTGGGTTGCGCTCCTCGCTAGGGCTCTCAGCGGTCTGCTCAACGGGTGAGTTGATGCCACGCTCGATTCGGCCTCCCTTTGGAGAACCGAGACTGACAGTGTCTTGTTTGGCAGAAACATTGGTGTCTTGCAGACCACGGTGGCTGAGCTGGTCAAAGTCAAGGAGCATCAACGTAAGTTTCGGAACACTTGGACTGCCCCGTAAAATCTCGTGAGCTTCGGGTCTAACGAGATGCCATTTTACAGCCCGCGCATACACCATCATGCCAATTGTGTGGTGTCTTGGGTAAGTTGCCAGCCCTGGCCACGTTGGGACGCGGAGCCCGTTTTGCCATTTTCCGGAACTCGGGCTTACACGCGGAAACAGGTCGATCATTGGACCAATCATTGGTGGAGCGCTGGCCGAGCCATGCGAAACGCTCCCGAGCCTGTTCCCCCGGGGCAGCATCTGGGAGAAGTTCCCGTACCTGCTCCCGAACCTGTTCAGCGCCATTGCCGTCTTCCTCGGGGTGATCATCGGAATCCTGTTCCTCGAGGAGACCCACGAGGAGAAGAGGCTCAACAGGGACCGCGGCGTTGAGCTTGGCAAGTACCTGCTTGGCCTGCTGCCCTGGAATCGTGAGAGACGCGTCTCGACCACCGGAAAGGGCGATTCCCAGCCGCTCCTTATGGACACGACCGAGTTCCTGCCCGGCTACCAGACGAACGAGAACTCTCCCCAGCTTGTTGCCCGCGACCTGCCCGAAGCCCTCGATCTGCCGCCCATCTCGGCCCCGCCGCTGCCGAGAGCACCAGCCGGCACCATTTTCACCCGGCCCGTGGTGCTCAACATCGTGTCATATGGCATCCTGGCCTTGTAAGAGCGCACCTTACCAAACCCTTGCCACGAACCCACACCCTCCTGATAGTCCCCCGCACTCTATTGCGAGGCCGACACGCTGACAATGACTTGCCGCAGCCACACCATGACGTACGATCAGCTCCTGCCCGTCTTCCTCAGCACGGAACCGCAGAACCAGCCGATCCACCTCCCCTTCAAGTTCTCGGACGGGTTCGGCTACAAGACGACGACGGTCGGAATTGTCATGTCGGTCCAGGGCGGCTACGCCATGCTCTCGACCATGGTCCTCTTCCCCTGGGCGGTGCGCAAGATGGGCCCGCTCCGGCTGTTCCAGTTCCTGGCGCTGTCGTACTTCATGCTGTACCTCCTGACGCCCTACATCGTGCTGCTCCCCGAGGAGAACTACCTGCGCGCCATCGGCATCTTCGTCGCCATCGTGTGGAAGTGCACCTACTCGACCATGGCGTACCCGAGCAACGCCATCCTGCTGACCAACTCGGCCCCGACGTCACTCTCGCTCGGCACCATCAACGGCGTCGCCGCCTCGACGGCCAGCCTGTCGCGCGCCTTCGGCCCCACCATCTCGGGCATGCTCTACGCCGCCGGCCTCAAGACGGGCTTCTCGGGCCTGCCCTGGTGGTGCAGCGGCGTCGTCACCATCGCGGGCGCCTTCATCAGCCTCCAGATCACCGAGGTCCCCGGCCGCATGGACGAGAAGAAGCCGACCGACGTCGAGTCCGCGCCCCTGCTGGACGACGACAACGACGATGACGAGCTAGAGTCGGATAGGCGTTGCTGAACGAGCTAGCTAGCTAGCGGGAGAGAGAGAGAGAGAGAGAGAACCGGCACTTTCGGATATTTCTCACCTGGTTCCCCACACGCCTAGCGACTTTCCCTTTTTCCGCATTCATGCGCATTTAGCTCTGGAGCCGGCGAGCTCGGCTAACGATGCCTGTCTCCATGGACGTGGGTCTGCTTTTTTTTTTTCCCCTGCTGGCTTGGCTGGCTCGTGTGACGCCCTTTCTGCTTTTCCGCTTGGCCTCGACTCCACAGACCGCAGAGACTCTTTTGGGGGGACAATCCTCATTTCGGCGCCACACGCGGCTTCCCACCCGGCGGCGCGCGGCCCACTTGGCGCAACCAAAAAGCCTGGCAACGGAACGCAACCGCGGGGGAGCCAAAAAAAGCAGGAGCAAGCATTCACTACCACGCCACCATCAACGCACTTTTGCTTTTTTCCCTGTTAGGCCTTCCTGCTTTTTCTCGTTTGGGCCGTCTTCCGATTTCACACCCTGGATCCGATCCGGGCGGGTGCGGCTGATGTGTCTCCCCATCCTCGCTATCCTCTTTTGGGCTCACTTTAGCTTCGGGTTTTGTCACTTCCTTCCTCTCTGTTTGTGTTTCTTCCACCCCCCTCGTCTCTTCATCATTTTCTTTTTTTTTTTACTTGGGAAAGATGGAGTACTGTGCATACGTAAAGAGCTGGGCTCGGACACATTTCAAGGGCATTTTCTGGTAGTTGGGAAAGAAAGGGTTTCTTGGGTTTTGTACTTCTCCTATCCCTGTTGCTTGTCGTATTTTTTTCTTTTTTTTTCCGCGTTCGAGATACCTTGTTTCCTTTTGCTTGTCCTGTTTCCTTTTTTTCTCTGTTATCGTTACCCTTGTTCTTCTGTTCCGCGCGGCTCGCTCGGTGTTAGCTCCCTTGAGCCTGCCCTCCGCGACGCCTAGCTCCCCCATCTTACTCGTTTTAGACGAACCGAAGCCATTTGTGGCTCGCGAGGCCTCTAGGCCACCACCCCAGCAAGAAAGACAAAAAACAGGATGGATACCCCCCCAGATTTTGTTTTCCTATTGTCATCTTTTTTACTATTTTTTATCAATAATCTTCCCCCTTGTATTTTTGCGCCATGGATGGCTTGGGAAGATGTTATGTACTTGGACCTTGAACGGGCTTTTATGTTCTTACCAAACGCTCTTCCTTTCTCATGATTGTCACGTCTCCCATACCTTGGTCTAGTTTTGCATTACAATAACGCTATATCCTCCATCGCCTGGCCACATTGGTTACATCGTGCTACGGAACCCGGTACACCACTTCCATCTGCTGAACACGGCACAGTTAGCAACTCCTAACCTGACCGGTCTCGGCATTGGCGGGGATAGTCGATTGTTGGCGTGTCTTTTTTTTTTGTTTATATTTTTCACCGTATCGCCGTATCGTCGTATCGCCGGCCGTGTGAGCCGTTTGTCGGTGGACACGGGTTCCTGCGAGTAAACCGGGGCGTTGGTTGGGCGGTCTGGCCGGTTGTGCATACATACCTAGGTACGCATCCGCATCTGAACTTGGCATAAAGGAAGCCACGTGGAAGGATGTCCTACATGGCCTTTTTTATGTACGTATCCAAGCGGCATGTCCTGTTTGGCCCTCCCACGTCCCTCACGGCACTTATGCACTTGTCGGCGGCGCTCGAAGGTTGTTTTGGCGTATGCAGCTAATGTGAGCGAGGGTCGTCCAAAGGTTAAAATACTATAGGCTCTAAAACCCCCACGTCCGGCTTTCCGGCTCCCACCGGGCAGGCGGCTCCGTTGCCTCGGTCGCGTCGGTCGCATCCCCTTTCGGCGATAGCTGCTGCTGCTGAGACGCAGGCGGCAGTTGGGGGGTAACTGGGGGTGTGGAAGATTGGAGGCGGCGTACCTTGCTTGGATCAGCGAGCTAAAAGCCATGTCGAACCCATGGATGGCGGGGGAAGGGAGCGTACCATTCCTAAAATTAGCCGCAAAAAAAAAAAGGACCAAACGACACGAGATTTGCGGTCTCTTGGGACATGGTTCAAGATGGCGGCCTTTGCTCCCATTCTTTCGCTCTGGTTGGTTCAGACGCGCGATTCAGACCCTGACCGGCCTGGCTGCCGCCATTCGCCATTCGGCCGCATTTTTTTTTACCAGCCCGCGGGTGGGTTTCTTGTCAAAGATGCCGGACGGGGAGCCGGGACCCATTTGCGATGGCAGGCGTGGCCCCTCATTCGCCAACCACCTCTTATCCAGGCATCATGAGTGGATGAGGGCACTGCCAGGGCTGGCTGGGTTGGGACAGCTGAGAGCGGGCAGGTGGCATCGGGCAGCCGATCAGTTCCGTCGTCGCGGAGAAGGAGCGCCCTGCCCCAGCTTTTTAGCCTCCCTTTTTTTCTGTGGTCCTTTTCTCTTTGCTGTCGCGAATGACAAAGCCACCATCACAACTCAGGACCAGATATATTATCACCTACCTGCATTAAATCCGCACGAGACAATAGAGGTTGGCGTGGGTTTTTGCGCGCCGTGAGATTTGAGCCCTTCCTCGGCTTCCACCCTAACCAAAAGTTCTGCCCAAGGATCTAGCTCGACCCCTGCTTGTCTTACCCTGCCCCATATCTCCCTCTCTTTATTGCTCGCCCCCTGCAACGAGGCTTTCCCCTCCCAACGCGCGCGGCATCTCCGCTTCTGCTTCTGACCTAGCCGGCCACACGCATCCCCCCCCAAAAAAAACCAGACGAGGAGCCAGGCCATACCGCACGCCCGTATTGTCCCATTGTCCATCGCACAGCGCCATTCTTCACCCTCAATTGGACGCCCTCTCTGCTGGGAGGGATTAGCAAAGGGGAAAAAGCAAAGAAGCAGGGGTGCCCCGAGCTCCCGTGCGGGACATCGATGGGACCGAAAACACGCCCCAGCGCGCGGAGACGAAGCCAGCGAAAGAGACGAGAGAGCTTGGGCCAGGCTGCTGCTGCTGCTGCTGCTGCTGGTGGTGCTGGCGATTTGAGAAATTGGATTTGCCGCCAGCCGCCCGCCCTGTCTGTCTTATCCTCGGCTCTTCCTGACTGCTGCTGCGGTGTGCCGTTTCCCGTTCGTTTAGCGTTTGCGCCGCCGCCGTTCTGATTTGGACTGGTTTTTTTTTCTTATCCGTCCGAGTGCAAGGGGAGAAGACGAAAAAAGGCGCCTCTCCAATGCTGCGGCGGCAGTCACCGTCCGTCCCATCCCTACCCGCACTATACCACCTCACAGTCACAGCAGCAGCACCCGAGAGCGGCCGCTGCTCCCTTCAGACGCTTGACGTCCAAGGTTGCTCTCGCTAGCCCCAACCGCCCCTTTTGACAGCTCCCTGGTCGCCCTGATTGCCCTAGTCCATCCAACCACCCCACATTCGCATTCGCCAGGTCCAGTGTAGCCCATCAATACCCGACACTGCCGCCGGCCCGTTTTCCGGCTGGTCTCGGGTTCGGAGCAAGTGGAGAACTTTTTTTTCTCTAGCTTCTCGTTCCTCATCGCGGTGCCGCTCGCGAGCCCGCCTGGACCGGACGGAGCGCGTGCGTTCCCGCTGCCGACCAGGAGAGCGACGACTTGCACAGCTAGCCTAGTCGAATAGCGCTGCCCCGAATTCACCATGTTGCCGGCGCCGCCTCCCCAGCAGTCGCAGGCGCAGGCGCACAATGCGCACGCGCACGCGCCGCCCTCGCCCCGGCAACACCCGGCCAAACGGCGCCGCCCGTCCTCGCCGTCCGACACTAAGGATTCGCCCCCGGCGTCCGCTTCGGCCTCAGTGTCGGCCGCCGGCGGCCCCGTCTCGCCGTCCAGCGAGGGCTTCCGCGCCCAGGACGAGCTGGCGGCCGCCGGCCCAGCCGCGAGCATGAAGGTGGGACAGAGCAGCAACTTCCGCAACGTGAGCGCCTGCAACCGCTGTCGCCTGCGCAAGAACCGCTGCGACCAGAGGCTGCCCAGCTGTCTCAGCTGCGCAAAGGCCAACACGTCCTGTGTCGGCTACGACCCCATCACCAAGAAGGAGATCCCCCGGAGCTACGTCTTCTACCTCGAGACGCGCATCGAGCAGCTCGAGGCTCTCCTGCAAGCAAACAACATCCCCGTTCCTGATGCCAGCGATCTCAAGCCCTGCTCTCGCGTGTCGGCGAACGGGTCGAGTGCTGGTGGCTCGCCCGGGGACGCTGCCCGTCGGAGCCAGCCTGACGCCTATGAAGCCGCCGCCGCCGTGTCTACGGGGATAAGCAACGCCGGCCCCGGCTCGCAGGGCAACGGCGACGGGCCATCGGGGCTGCAGAGGCTCGTTTCCAAGACGGCCGTCCCCGGGGCGTCTAACCCGCGCTACCTGGGCTCGACCGCTGGCGTTTCGTTCGCGCGCATCGTCTTTGCAGCCGTGCAATCGTCCGTCTCGGACCAAAAGTCTAGCTCAGACAAGGGTGGCGTCAAGCCGTATCGGCCCTCGCCCGCGAGTTCGTCGGGCCAGCAACCCGCAACCTCGATGAGGGACTCCTTTTTTGGCCTGCACACCAAACCGACCATCCACCCCGCCACGTTTCCTGACAAGCAGCTGGGCCTTCGGCTGGTCAACCTGTATTTCCAGCACGCGAACCCCCAGATACCCGTCCTTCACCGCAACGACTTTATGGAGATGTTTGAGAGAGCCTACGAGGAGGGGCGACAGCGCACGCCCAAGGAGCAGTACATGCTCAACATGGTCTTTGCCATCGGCGGTGGCATAATACTGGCCGACTCGAAGAAGGCGTCGACCCGGTCGGCCCCTGGCGAAACGGCCGACGGCTCTAAGCAGTCTCAACCCGAGGAGTACCACGCCAGCGCCATCATCCACCTCGAGGCTTGTCTCAGCACTAGCGGCGGCGGCCTGGAGGAGCTCCAGGCGGTGCTTTTGCTGGCAAACTTTGCGCTTCTGAGACCGGTTCCTCCGGGCCTGTGGTACATCATTGGTGTCGCCATCCGACTGGCCATAGATCTCGGACTTCATTTCGAAGATGGCAAGGACCCCCATGCAGGCCTCGGCGAGGGTGAAGGCGATGGAGATGAGCTGGCAGGGCGCGAGCGTGGACGTCGGGAGTACGTGCGGGACCTCAGGCGCAGGCTGTGGTGGTGCACGTACTCGCTAGACAGGCTGGTGAGCATGTGCGTTGGGCGGCCGTTCGGTATCTCGGACCAGATAATCACGACCGAGTTCCCGTCGCTCCTCGAGGACGAGTTTATCACGCAGAACGGCTTCGTCGAGCCCCCTCCCGAGCGGATCGAGCCGAGCTCAAAGCTTGTGGGTGAGCATTACTTCCGGCTCAGACTGTTGCAGTCTGAGATCCTGCAAGTGCTGCAGTTCCAGCAGGCCCAGCTGGTGCGAGCTCAGGGGCAGAACCGCGACAATCCCTACATGCACACGGATCTGCCGTCGCCGTTCCTGGTGCGTCACGAAACGTTCCGGTCATGGCGCATCGATATCGACAGGCGGCTCTACGACTGGAAGCAATCGGCGCCCAGGCAGGAGCGCACCGGGGTTGACTTCTCGACGGACTTCCTGGACCTCAACTACTGGCAGGCCATCATCATGCTCTACCGGCAGAGTCTCAGCGTCCCGGCCATGTTTGAGGGCGAATACCACATCTCCAAGGAGATTAACAGCCCCAACGTGTACAGCGGCGAGCTGCGCGAGGACGAGGACCGCGTCTATCTCAAGGTTGCCGAGGCCGGGCAGAAGATACTCCGGCTCTACCGCACCCTGCACGTGGCCGGCGTCGTCAACTACACGTACCTCGCCACCCACCACATGTTCATGGCCGGGATATCGTACCTCTACGCCATCTGGCACTCGCCCATTGTGCGGAGTCGACTGGTATGTCTACCTCTCTCAAGGGCCCACCGCGACATGTGCTGTATGCTGACAACGACACAACGCGCTGCACCTAAAGACGATGGATGAGGTGGACTTCACCATCCTGGCCGCAAACTCTGTCTTCACCGATCTGAGCGACAAGTGCCCACCTGCAGAATCATGCAAGGATGCCTTTGATAGAACTGCGAAGGCGACTATAAAGATGGCAGCCTCGACAGGCGGGTTCGGGGCGGCTGCCATGGCGCCGGCCAGGGGGCATAGGCATCACCATCAGAATCACAGCTCCAGACACAGCTCAGAGGTTGCAAACAAAGGATCGGACTGGGCGGCACAGAGCGAGTCGTCGGCGTCAGCAAGAAGCCACCACCAGATGCCACGCCCCCAGCGCTCATTGGAACAGGGCGCCTCCTCGATTGGCTTCCCCGCCAACGCATCGCCCCCGCTCCAGACGCACGGCATCCCGCAGTTCCGCCATCCTGGAGAGGTCAAGACGGACCCAGACCTTATGCTGATGCAATCCATGGCCGCGCCGCCGCCGCCACCACCACCACCACGCAGCACGGCCAGCGGGTCCGATGCTGCGGCATCACCTGACTCGACGGCTGTGACGGACCCAGGGGTACTCCCATCGCCCGTGTTTGTGCAGCAGCAGCAGCAGCAGCAGCAGCAGCAACCACAACAACAACTGCAGCAGCACGCATCCGCATCGCCATCGGGCTCGGCTGCAGTCCTGGTCAACTCGCCCGGCTCGGCAACGTCACGGACAACCAGGTCTGTGGGTAATATGGAGAACTACCAGCAGCAACAGCAGAGGCGGCGGCATCAGCACCCGCAACAGGCGCCTCAGTCTGCGCCGGCATTCACACCGGGTGCGCTGAACTTTGCAGAGATGCAAGGCATGGACTTCATGCAGGGACTTGCGGCAGCGGCGCCACAGGACCTCGTCGCCGCAGGTATACCCGGGATGACCGGCCCTGATACGCAGATGGACCTTGGGTTCGGCCTCGGGTGGGAGGGCATGCACCACGACTTCAACGACGGCGGCCAGCAGGTGGACCTCTTTGAAGGTTTCTTCTTTGGAGGTCAGCAGGGCGGTTCAGGGGGCGGCATGTGAGTCAGATTTCCGATCAAGGCGATCATGCACAACCAGATTTGAGACATGAGACATGGTCACTACTGTTACGGGGGATTGATTTACGAAGATACATATCACGACATACGCCAAAAGCACTTGTTTATTTCTGGACGACGGTAGGAGGCGGTTGCACACCTTGTTGGATCTCATTTTGGCATCTCATGCCAACAGCCAGACGGGACTGGATTGTACGACGATGCAACGGGGGCATGGACGGATACGATACCACGGCGGTCTCTTCGGAGACGCCACGAGAACACCACTCAGATTTTACGCTCCACACAGGTGAGCACGCCAGCCCAGTCCAGGTTGGCTGGGCCGGCACTTGGCAATGCTTTGGCCATCAACTAGCTAGCCACCTGCTGTTGCGACAGTTTTTTTGAATAGAAGTTTTCTTCTTCTTGAACCATGTGAGTGCAATCTTGCCCGGATCTGTGCCGCTCTTTGCTTTTTCCACGAGCTGGAAAGGCCAAGACTTGGCAAAATGTTGCGGGGCTGTTGTTGTTCACGGCGAAAGACATGCATACACGCCCAAGAGGCGATGAGAAGGGTAACAACTATGATGGCCATTGTTTAGGTCGTCTTGAGGCTGTGCAACCATGCCTGGCCTGTTCCCTTCCCGCCTGTTCCTTGTCCTCTTTCGTCTGCACACGTCCTTGGCGCATACCTGAATGTCCAGACACCCCTCCCACCCTGCCTGCATGTTCTTTCCGGACATTTCTTTTTGGGGGGCAAGCTGAGGTTGAACAGCATGACGGTGGCTACACGAGTTGTGTTACCACATCAAGACCATGGTCCGAGACCTGGGCCTTCCCTCTCGTGGTCGGGTATTCTTGTGAGTCGGCGACTACCAGCGGAGGCAGGAGGCCAGATGCTGTGCCATCCGTCACCAGCGGCTGTCGTGGAATAGTAGCTGGGCCCACCTCACCACATCCCCCCCACCCCCAGTCGGCCTAGTCGTTCCGTCCGGCCGGCGCCATGCGTGTGCGCCCTGGGCACGACACTCGTATATGGGTGGTATACCTGGTTACCTAGGTGGGTATGCATGGCTGCCCGGTATACGCGAGGGTTTGATACGTACGCAATATCCAGTTTTTTTTTTCGTTTCTTTTTGCTTTTCCATCTTTTCTTCAGCCGAGTCGCCTTTACATACGACCGAGAGAGAGAGAGAGAGGTGGCGTGGGAATAGCGGGTGTCTGCGCATTTGGCCCCCGCAGTGAGAAAATAGAAGAAATGCAAAATAATAAGATTGGCTGGCGAACCTTGTGATATGCGATGAGTCTACCAAGACTTCAAGATGAACACCCTGCCGGGTGGGAGCGGCAAAGCCAACCCACCACCCCCATCCCATCGACCTGACTCGAGACTCGTCGGCGAGGCGGCCTTGGCTGTCAGCCTCCCCATCGGGCAGAGGCGACGTGGCAGGCCCCTGGCGGCAGGCAAGCGGGCAAGGGAGCTGAAACGGAGCAAGAATGGAATAAGCAAAAAAAAAGGGCAGAAAGGGCATGAAAAAAAAATCTCTTCCCTGTCACGCGCCCCCTACCTCGACGTATATCAAAGGCTCGTTATTATGCAACCCACCACCAACCTTGCTCCCCCCCAATACGAACCACACGCACGCCATCCTTCTGTCCAGACTTATATACCCTGCCCCATACCTTATTATAGCACCGATAATGACGATGACGACGACGACGACGCCCCTCAGATCTCCACCAAAAAGATTCCCCGCCGCTAGCCCCGACCCCGAGCTACCTCGGCCCCCTTCGGCGATGGCGCCCAAGGTCCGTCGCCGGGGAGGGGCACGGCCCGGACCCGGCCGACGGTGATCCGGCCCGACCCGAACCAGCGCGGCGTTTTACGATGTTGTCGCCCCCGTATTTTTAGCAAACCACCGAGCCAGCGGGGCACCCAGCACCCTGGAACCAACACTCCTGCTCTAGCTGGTACTCCCTGCCATACTCGTCATTGCCCCCGGAAGGCGGCGCGAAAAAGGTCGTTGACCACCAGTGACGTGGGCTTGTACTGCTCGAATAAACACTTGGTAAACTCCCAGTATTTTGGGAAGAATCCCGAAATCTCCCAGTCGACGATGCCGGTGATCGTCCAGCCGCGCGTGCCGTCCTGCAGCAGGACGTAGTCGAGCAGCACGTTGCCGGCGTTGAGCCCGGCATGGGTGAAGCACACCGCGTGGCCGGCCCGGGCCGGGTCGTCGGCGACCTGGAGGCCCCCGCCTGTTGAACTCGGCCTCATCCTCGAACGGACCACCCTTTTCTCCCCCCCCTCCTCTGGTTATATATACAACAGAGCTTCTTATCTACTCCGATTATGGCCGGGCACGTGATTCCAAAAGCTCATATCGCGCTTCTCCCGATCGACGGGGTCTGGGTGCTGTGCTCTGGTATCACTTCCCCTAGGCCATGGAATCCGCAAGTGGGTATTTGTGTTGAGTGACATGCAAGGACTGACACATACGACCATACCCACTGGAATATACGGGATCCCGTCCGCTCTCCCCTA